AGAAGGACTCACTGTGTAGGTGGCAGGCTGGGGGTGGGGGGTGGGGCACAGAGGACAGAGGGACAGGAATGCAGGGTCACAGGATGCAAGGGTAACAGTGTTGGCAAGGAACCAGTGAAATACGAATTCAGGGCATCACCGTGGAAAAGCACAGGAGAAGGGGGCTAGACTGACATTTGAGAACACTATGCAGACTTGACGGCTGACCGCTGGACAGCGAAGAGGAAGTCATTTGGGTAGATTTCAGGCTTCTGACTGGGATGTATCACTACCTCAAGAGGCCGTCACTGTTGGGTATCAGCTATGCCGCATCCGATATCAAACATATCAAAATATTGTAGGAGGGGCCAGACATATGGATCAGTGTTTAAGACCACGTGTGGCTCTTGTGGAGGATCCAGATTCAGCTCCCAGCATCCACATAGTGGCTCACAACCATCTGTAACTCCAGTTCCAAGGTATCAGATCCCTTCTATGACCTCCATGGGCACTAAGCACACACGTGGTACACATATATGCATGCAGGCAACATACTCATGCACATAAAATATAAATTAAATGAGTCTTAAAAATATTGTAAGATTCTGAGATGGTGAGGCACCTTATAGTGTCCCCTCCTGCATAAGGAAGAACCAGGGTAGCAGGTGGATGGCTGAATTGTTGAGACAATTTTAAGTTGGTCAAATTGACTTACATGTAAATCTGACATGTTATTTTGATATAATCAACATGAATCCTAGAAAACTTTAAAAACAAGGGGTTGAAGCATTGCTCAATGATAAAGTACATGGCTAGCATGTACAAGAGTTTCATAACTAGGGGCACCCCCCTACCCCTCCTAGAAAAAAAAATTTCTCGCCAAAAAGAAAAGAGAAAGAGAGAAAAGTAAGAACCTACTCTTCCAACCTTTCACAACATGTTTGAGCAATGTAGCATACTTTAGTCATTTAGAAACTAGGTGGAAAATGCCAGCTCGGCAGCTTAAACAGAAGTCCTTCATTTACAGACACATCGGTCTCTGCTCTGGAAATTGTAGAAGAGCTGGTAAAACCCAGGTCGTATAAAATGTTAGAGAGACTTCCCATTGTCATTGGCTTTCTGGTCCCTGACGGAAGGTGAGGTTATTAGATGTTTATAGTTTGAAGGGACTCTCTTGTAATATGGCACTGGTCATACTCCTGTCATTTCTGGACTCTGAAGACATGACCAAAAGAGTTTTAGTGCTTGCTCCCGGAGACTCTCATGGAAATCCAAAGGAGGAAATCAGATAAAGTACCCCCACACACATAGTCTGCAGGGAGTATGTTTCCAGACTTCCAATGTAGGCCTGAAATCTCAGTGTCAGACTCCAGAAGTATGTGATTTTCCTAGACACAGATGCCTCTGACAAAGTTTAGTCTATAAACTAGGTACACTAAAAGATCAACAATGTGAGCTACTAATAAAATAGAGCAATGCCCAAAATATACTGTAATAAAAATTATGTGAATATATTCTCTCTGATTTCTGGAATTTTCTTCCAAATAGAATTTTTGGACCACAGAAAGCGAAATCTCAGTTGAGGGGGACTACTGTATTATGAGAGGTGAAAGACTCTGCTAGCCAAACTGGCCAATAAGAAAGGGTAGATAGGGCTGGAGAGATGGCTCAGAGGTTAAGAACACTGGCTGTTCTTCCAGAGGTCCTGAGTTCAATTCCCAGCACCCACATGGTGGCTCACAACCATCTGTAATGAGATCTGGCTCCCTCTTCTGGCCTGCGGGGATACATGCAAACAGAACACTATATACATAATAAATAAATAAATCTTAAAAAAAAAAAAAATAAGAAAGAAAGAAAGAAAGGTAGATAGCCCAGTTATCATGTGCCGGGAGCAGAAGCCTGAGGACTTGATTCAATCGCCAGCACCTATATAAAAGGAAAAAGCCAGAAGAGGTGGTGTATAATTGGAGTCTCAGTGCCGCAGGGAGACAGGAGGAGCTCCAGGTCTGCTGACCAGGCAGTCCAGCCAAATCCACAGACATCAGGTTCAGTGAGAGACCCTTCTCAAAAAATAAGGTAGCGAGTGATTGAGAAAGGCACCTGATGTCAACCTGTGCCCTCCACACGCTTGCTTATGCACATGCAGACACACATGAAAAAACAAAAATTGGCAACCAATAAAATCTGTGAATGCTGTATGCGCACGGCACGGGGTATGTGCCTTTGTGTTTTACCAGAAAGGCCAGAAATTGGCAAGATCTTTTTGGAAAGAGATTAGAATTTTCAAACTTTAAAGTATGTCCACCTTTTCCTTCAATCCACTTTTAGCTATTAGATTCAGATGATTTAACACACACACACACACACACACACACACACACACACACACACACACGAAATTAAAACAGTATGTTTGAGGGAGTACATATGTTAATTACTAAAGCTGTTCCACAATGCATATATATATAAACACCATACTCCCAGGACCTGGGAGGCAGAGGCAGGCGGGTCCTTGTGAGTTCAAGGTCAGCCTGGTCTACAGAGAGAGTTCCAGGACAGCCAGGACTACACGGAGAAACCTGGTCTCAACCAACAACAACAAAATTAAATAAAGTGTTGAAGTCAGTGAGATGGCTCGGCAGGTTTACACCTGCTGCTAAGCCTGGTGACCTAAGTCCAGTCCCCAAAGCTTACATGGTACGGAAGGAGAAAACTTACAAGCTGTCCTCTGACTTCTACATGTACACACACAAGCCTCCCACAAACTGATGTAAAAAGAATTTTTTTTTTTTTTTTTGGTTTTTCGAGACAGGATTTCTCTGTGTAGCTTTGCACCCTTCCTGGAACTCGCTTTGGAGACCAGGCTGGCCTCAAACTCACAGAGATCCGCCTGGCTCTGCCTCCCGAGTGCTGGGATTAAAGGCATGTGCCACCATCGCCTGGCGTAAAAAGAATTCTAAATTAAATATATAATATCCATATTTTACAAAATTAATCTTCGTATTTCTGGGTGTGGTGGCAGGCTTGTGATCATAGCACTTGCTAGGCAAATGCAGGTGGATGATCAGGAATGCAGGGACAGCCTGGGTTGTACAGCAAGTTTGAGGACAGCCTGGGTTACATGAAGCCATATCTCAAAATAATAGCAATAATAAAGTGTTTCGTTAGTGGACTTTGGAGCAATTACCCCACAGAGAGGGTATTACTTTAAATTGATTTGAACACTCAAGTTCTTCAATTATCATCTATTCCTTGGAGAAACTCAAAGAAAACTTAGATAAAGGTAGAGAACCCTGTATCACCTATCCCACAGTCAGGGGTGACAGAGGGGCCTCAGAGACAACGCCTGGGGCTGGAATTCACTTGCCTCAGCTCCAGAGATCACTGAAATTCCGCTTACGATGGCATGCAGCGGTGCGTGAAAATGCAAAGTCCTGGTTCTCAGTGAATGCTAAGAAAGGAGACTGGGAGTAAACCAGTTAAACCCTGATATGTGCAAAGAAGGACGCACACACAAATGGCTGGGAGTCAAGAAAAGAGTGAAGAGAATCTCTTAAGAAGTGATCTATGAGTGTGTCGTAGGGCAAAGGGCAGATGGGAAAGCACTGTACACAGCAGAAGGGTGCAAAGGTTCTGGGCAGGAAGAAATATGACGTGTCTGAAGAAATGCAATCAGCTCATTGTGAATGGTGCTTAGTGAGCACAGATAGAGGACTGGGTGCGGGGTAGAGAGCTGGACAGGGGCCAGAGCATGCAGGACTGATGGACAAGGCCAGGAAGGATTCTGGGTGATAGTCTAGATCAATGGGATGCCACTGATGGGGTTTCATCAGATGGGTGGCATGAGCCGCTGTTGAGGGCAGAGAGATGTGGTGGCAGGCCAGCAGCAGTGGTTTTGGCAAGACCTGATGGTGATGTGAACCACAGTGCCCGAAGCGGAGATGGATAGAGGCAGATTGTGCTGTGCTGTAGAAGCAGAATTCACCAAAGTGCTGATGCTTTCAGCATGAAAAACGAGGAGGGAGAGGGGTGTTCTTTCCGTGATAGTATTTGGTAAGAGGACTTTTGGGGCAGAAGATTGAGAGGAATCAAGAGTTGCATTTTAAACTACCTACATACTCAACAAGTAGAAAAGCTAAGGATGTGGCTGGTCACAGGAGCTGGCAGCTCAGTAGAGAGGGTAGGGCCCGAGATGTAAAGTTCCAGGCTGTCATCCCACAGAGGGCATTGAAGCTGGCCAAGGAACTCAGCCAGGAGGGAAACGAAGCTGGGCCAGGACTGAGCTGGGCACCCGATGTTCAGAACTGGCCCAGCAACAAAGGAGATGCAATGAAAAGGGAAGAAAGCCAGGATCATGTGCTTTTTAAAAGTCTACCACCGAGAGCTCAAGCCTAGAACTGCCTTGGGCACACAGCAGATCCTCCTGAACATTTGCTGAATGCTGAATGCATGAGGAAGGAAGAAGGGATGGAGTGTGGCCACATTGTCAGACAGAGCTCAAAGAGGCGATTGGAGGGGCAATAGAGGAGCCCATTGGTTTTAGGCACAGGAAGCTTCAGTAGCATTGCTGACAGGAACCAGCCCAAGAGCAGGAACAAAGCCAAGACATTCTGGTTTGGATGGAGATCAAGATGGTCATGGAATGTCAATTCACCAGCAAACCCTCAGTGACTCACAAGCTTCCTGCCACAGTGCCCCGTGAGCGATACACTTTCTTGGCATCCAACCTTAATTAGGTCTTTACTTTAGTGTTTCCACAGGGCTAATTCCTGCCACGGTGCCACGGAGGTGTGAGCAGAGCTCTGGATGCCTAGGCTGGATCTGGCCAGGTAGGCAACTGTACATCCCCCCTCCCTTCCAATACACCTAGTCCCCCTATTACTCCTACACCTGTTTCTGTCTTGATGGACCACTGTTGGGTTGTAGCAAACATCACCAAAGTTTTACCACCTTCTGCTGTTGGGGGTCGGGGGGGATGAATGAATAAATATATGCATGAGCATGATGCTCAGACTTACCAGGTACAGTTAGGACAGATGGGGACCTTTCGGGTTTTTCATTAACGCGGCTGCTGTTTTGGACCCAGAAGATGTTGATGGGCTCAGGTGGACCCACAGCCTGGCAGGTGAGGTTGAAGGCTGTGTTTCTGGTGACATTCAAACTCTCAGGCTGCTTAATAAAGTAAGGAAGTCCTGCAGAGAAAGACGGGAGCAGAGTACGTCTTAACCAGAAGCAGCGCCTTTGGAGACAGGGATGGGGGTTTCCTTGGCAACGAAACAGCCAATTGTCACCTCCCAATAGAGTAAGAAAGAGTGCAGGAGTTCTTGACTACCAGTCTTCCCCAGCCAGCTTTCTAGGACACTTTTTCTAGGGACTGTGTGTAGTGATTCATCTGCTTTGGCCAGAAGGGAATACACAGCCAGTTTTTAAATCAGGTGTTGCTCAAGGGCCTGGCACTGGTCAGTAGGTTGGCAGTATTTCTCATCAAAACAAACAGAGTGAGGCAGGAGAGATGGCTAGCAGTTAAGAGCACGCGCTGTTCTTCCAGAGGACCTAAGTTCATCCCGGGACCCACATCAGGCAGCTTGCTACTATCTGGAACTCCAGCACAAGAGGATCCAGCATCCTCTTCCAGCCTCCGAGATCCCCTCCACCCCACATACACACGGCACACATCCACATAAAAACACATACATAAAAAAAAAAAAATCTAAAAAATAACAGAGTGAAAACAAAGCTATACAACAGGTGTGTCCAAGTTTTGAGGGAACTCTGTGGTGTGTGTGGCTTTCAGATGGGTGAAGATGGATTTTAAAACCTGTGCACTTGAGACTATGGGTCTACGAGGTTCAGTTGTAAGGCATGCATAAGGCCCTGGGTTCAAGGCTCTAAGTACTATGAGTGAGTACACACACACACACACACACACACACACACACACACACACACAATTTCATGTGTTTGTGTAAAACAGAAGAGTTTACAAGAGGCACCCACTTGAACACAGTTCTATAGTTATAATCTCTGAATCTACTGAAACTCCAAAATCTGACCCACAAGGGAGCCTGGAAATTTTCAGAGAAAGCCAATGATTACTGGTTTGGACTGTGTACCCACAGTTTTAGCAGGGCAAGCTGGCTAGCCTTGACACTTAAACCACGGGTTTTATAAACTCGTCTTACAAATCTGGTTCCACATGGAATAATAGGATTCTTTTTTCCTGTTTCAAAGCTTTCAAGATTGAGACTTTTCCCAACACGTGCATTTTTCTTGGGATCCTGACAAGTAAATTGTCTTCTAAATATTGTATTTTACGAAATTAATTCCAAATGTAGGAGCTGCCCTCCTGTCAACTAGTGCTCACATAACCCAGGCACCAGCTGTCTAGCCTAGGAAAGCCAAGGTCCCTAGGATGTTTACCTGAGGGGCTTTTCCTTGACTCTTCCCCTCCACACTCACCCATTCCCTGACTCCCCGATTTGCCCCTTCTCCTCCTCCTCCTCCTCTCAAGCTTTCTACAGTGTTACTGGGCATCAAGTTCACGTTCACAAGAGAATGGGCACCAGAAAAGCCTTTTAGTGGGAGCAGGATGTAGAAAGTATAATAGAGACAAAAGAGAAGAGCAGTGATGAATGGCGGGGCTGGCATCTTGGAAAGTGGTACCTCAGGGGTGGAGAGCAACACTCAGGTGGGACACATGCATAGCATGTGCAATGCCCCGGGCATGCACATGTATGTACACACACACACACACACACACACACACACACACACACACACACACACACACACAGAGAGAGAGAGAGAGAGAGAGAGAGAGAGAGAGAGAGAGAGAGAGAGAGAACTGAATCTATCACATCATTATCCAAAGTTTTGAAAAGAGGACTGTCTTGTAAAATTCCAACACGAGTGGATCCACAAAGTTTACAGAGTTATAAACAGGCAGGCCACACCCTGCCTGTCACACCGGAAACACTTCGATGCAGGCTCTAAAGAGCACCTGGGCAGCAGGGTATCCTGGCTTTGGGCTCACCTTGAACTTCGACGTATATGGGATCGGATACGATTTCTTTGTCGTTCACCCTCATCTTACAGAAATACGACCCGTTGTCTGAGCGCTGCACACTGGTTATGCTTCAAAGAAAAACACAGAAAGAAATTTGCAGCGACTGTCTTGGAGTCCCTGTTACAGAAGCAGAAAATCCTTCACTACACTTACGTGCTAAGATGGTTAATGTGTCAACATGGCTCTAGGCCATGGTGCTTGGTTGTCTAGATGCTGCTGTAAGAATATTTTTCAGATGCCGTGAACATTTAACTTGGTAACCTTTGAGTATAACAGATTATCCGTCCCAGCATGCATCTCGTCTAATCAGTTGCAGACTGAGGTCCCCTGAGAAAGCTCAATGTCAATTTTCCATGGGTCTCGAACCAACACTCTGCTGGTTTCAGATTTTTTTTAGTACTTATTACAGTGTGAATTCATTGAAACTCTCTCTCTCATTCCCTCACACACATGCATGAACACACTCACTCACATGGGTGCTTGGGCACGCCTATCTCTTCTTGCTTTTATATCTCTTTGAGTCCCTGCTCAAACAGACACTCTCAGGTGTCTTGCGTTCCTTGGTGAACTCTAAACCAAGGCTTTGGTATTTCCTTCAAGACATTTTGGAAATCTGAGGAGTTTTCGGCAGTCACAATGACTAAGGGGTTCCATAGATTTCAGGGTCCTGGGCAATTGTTCTATATCCCAAATGACCTTCTGAAACTGGGTCCTGATTCTAGTTTGCATGGTCTCCAGGTATTTTACACGGGTTTTAATGATCACCTAATTGCCTAAAACTGCAACTACTATGTAAGTGGAGGGCTGGTATCCTCCTCTTGTCTAGTTTGGAACTGTCTGGTGCCTGAGCCGTGTTTTCATTTTTTAGATATCTCTCTGTCTCTGTCTCTGTCTCTCTGTCTCTCTCTGTGTGTGTGTGTGTGTGTGTGTGTGTGTGTGTGTGTGGTGTGCTCTCATGTGTGCAGATGCCTACAGGGGCCCAAAGAGGCATCCGAGTCCCTGGAGCTGGGGTTACAGATGGTTGTAAGTTCCCTAACACGAGTACTGGGAACTGAACTCGGTGCTCTTAAACACTGAGCCACCTCTTACCCTCACCTCAGTCACCATTCTGGAAGGTCAGTCACCGACAGCATCACCGCATTTGCTCAGGCACAAGTTTCGTGCTCAGGTCAGGGGACGAGGGACACGTGACTAGCTCTTTTTTCCCTTCTCCTGGGCTGGTCAGGCCAGCGCCGGTACACAGAAATCTGTCTTAGTTTGCTATCAGCCGTCTTAGCTTTGCTTCTGCTCCAGCTGGAACACTTAGAAAATATCTGATCCATCTGGCCCAGTGCTGCGTGCCTGTGATCCCAGCACTCGGGAGGCTGAGGCAGGAGGATTATGAGTTTGAGGTCAGCATGGGCTCACTTCAAGAGCTTGTCACAAAACAAAACAGGCAGCTTTGGCTACCACTGCCTTCTTTCTACCTCTGCACTGTGTTTACAAACAGAAAGTTATACGGCACCCATAAAAGCTGCACTGGAGGCAGGCAACATGGCTCAGAGTGTAAACGTGCTTGCTGCCAAGCCTGAGGACCTGAGTTCAATCCCCAGGACCCATAGTTTGGAAAGAGAGAACTGACTCCTGCGAAGTTCCTTTGGAGTCGCTTGCAAACTAATATTGAACTTGCATATTCAAGAACCCGAGCTAATGGCTTCACGAAGGCCAGGAAGCTGTGAGAGGAGGGGGGCTCCGTACTGGCCCAAGCCCAAATAACAGTTCAGGCACATACTTGGACTGTAGGAATCAGACTGTGAAAAATGTCCTGGAGTACGCTGACTCAACAGGCCAGGAAAGTCTAGCTTACAAATAAAAAAACACTCAAAACACAAGCCATGACCCCAAGTTCACCTTCAGCCACTCACGTCAGGAAGGAGTTAGAAATCTGTTCCTGGACGGCGTCTAGACCATTTACCTGTTACTGTAAGAGCTAACTTGGACATCCATATCAAGTCTCCCCAGGAAAGGCAGGTTGTGGGGTGGGACCAAGGAGAGGAGTGGCTATTCCCAATACCCTCCCTTCCCAGCTGAATCAGGAAGCTGGGGTTCTGTGGAAGCAATATCTGAGCTCAAAATAACAAACCTAGGGGAGTGGACAACTAAAGGGAGTTGAGGAAAGGACATGGGAAGAGGAAGAGGAAAGAATCTAATTGTCTCAGAGCTGTGCTGTAGGCCTGTCGTAATCAGGCCCCCGAATGGGCAGCCCAGAAGGAGAGAATAGCCACACCGAAGGGCTTCCACCGAAAATGCTGTATCTTTAAGTCAAAGTCAAGATCATAAAGGTTCCAGAGGGAAGGGTGAGGCCACCTCTGGTGACCTGGGTCCCCACCACACTGAGCAAGAGCAAGTAGGAAATGTGTTCAAAGACTTCAGAACTATAAGGAAATGTTTTCCTTTTTTGGTTCTGTATCTAAATAAAGCATCTTGAGGTCGGGGTGGGGGAAAGATCTTTTCAGGCATGTGAGTCTCAGAGGTCAATAGAGGAAGGAAAACCCACGTGAGAGGGGTACCTGGGCCCCAGAAGTAGAAGTGCGAGAAGAATGGGGGTCCTCACTGCCAGCGAAGGCAGGAGGCGACGCAGTAGGACCCAGACCTGGAGGGTATCCTGTCCAGACTGAGGTGGGAGCCAGGGTAGGAATCTCAGGGGAGGAGGGGCACACTTCTAACAGTTTCATGACCATGAGAGGAAGTAAGACAGGACTTTCTTTCAGAACTGAAGGAAGAATGAATAGTTGAAAATTTGAAACTCTTAAGCAAGTTAGCAAGAAAAAAAAAGGGGAAATAATAAAAGTAGAATACACTCACAGCACAGTACATGATCCAGCTAGCTAGGAACACAACTTCCATATCCACAAAAAAAAAAAAAAAAAAAAAAAAAAAGGAACCCTGGGTATTGATTTTTGCCACGAATAAATACTTCATTGGCACACCATCATGGGGATGGGCACACATGCAAACATGCACAGGATGGCACATGGACTGAAGAGCTCTGGGAAGACGCCTAAGGGCTCAGTTCCCCGTGAGGAGGGACTAAGGGCAGGGATGAAGAAGAATGATTTTAAGAGTTGGAATGCATTGCCTCAATATTTTTTCCATTTTTATGTACTTATTTTGTATCCAAGTATATGTGTGGTGTATATGTATGTGTGCATTTGTGTGTGTATGTGCGTGTGTGCGTGTGTGTGTGTGTGTGTGTGTGTGTGTGTGTGTGTGTGTGTGTGTACCACAGTGCATAAGTGGGAGTCAGAGGACAACTTTGGGAGGCTGGTTCTCTCCTTCAACCGTGTGGGTTCCTGGGACTGAACTCAGGTCATCAGACTTGGTGGCAAGGACCCTTGTCCACTGAGCCATCTCTACCCTAGTTCTTTTTTTTCCCTGTAGTAAATTTAATGAGGCCATATGAAATATCATCTACATTTAATGCTTGGCCAGATGATCAGTTACCTACAAAATATTTCCTACATGCTAATGAATATATGTAAAATTATGTATAATTTACTATGTTGTATATGTAGCTTTACTAGTCATTACTTTTTCTCAGTTATGGCTTAGTATATTTGATATTTAGGTCTATCTAGCATATATTTTGTTAATCTTATTCCTCAATATGTTTGTGGGTGTTACTTTAAATAATATATTTTAATTATTTAAATTTATAATTGTTCATGACTGCTTTAAAAAAAAATGTTATGGGGCTGGTCAGATGTAGCCCTGATATAGAACATTAGCAGAGGAAACCCCAGACCCTGGGTTCTAGCTCTAGCATGGGTCTCCCACCCAAGGCATGAAAATCCCATCAGCTTTTGACATAGAAACATCTGGACCAAGAGGCAGAATGAAATGATACAGACTGAGCCATAGTGTCTAGACAGGAACCACCTGGCCACAGCTGCAGGGCTGGCACTGGGGAAGCCCAGGCCCCAGGGCAATGGTGGCTGGGCTGGCCCCAGGATATTCTCCAAGCATCCAGCGTCTCTATCCCTCAGCATACTGATGCTGGGCTGGCACACAGGGAAATGTCTCACAAGGAGCAGTTAAACTCTCAAGTCTTCTTCAAAGAAGTACAAAGAAGCAAAGATACTATATGATTCTGCATAAACGAGATGCTTGGAGCGGTCGAACTTGTAGACAGAGAAGGTGGAACACCCCTTACTGCTGGGGTGGGGCACGTACCATGGCGCAGGTAGGGAGGGTCACATGGTCGTGTGAACGTGCTTATGACCGCTGCTCTTCACATACGCAAAGGGCTTAAGTGGTGACTTACTTCACATGCATTTTACCAAATAAAAAGGCAAAAAGAAAATACAGTTCATGAATCAATGCAAAGAGCCACTGACAAGCTTCTTCTTGCTTCCATCTGGTGCTGAGAGGCTGTCATGGACAACCAAGTGAAGAGACTGGGTGAAGGTCCTGTGGTTAATAATAACTTTGCCCGTGGTAGTCTGGCTAAAGGAGCTGTGTTCTTACTTTCTGGATGTCTGCTCATATTTGATTCCCTTTCCTTTCCTTCTTCTGACAAAGCTTTGCTCTGTGGCCCGGGCAGACCTCCAACTTGAGATCCTCCTGCCTCAGCCTCTGAACTGCTGAGATTACAGGCATGCTCTTGCCATGTCCCCCTTGATTCTTCTTTCTTCTTAAAGTATCATCATCATCATCATCATCATGATATGTACAGGTGTTTTGCCAGCATGTACATCTGTATATCACATGCATGCCTGGTGTCCATGGAGGCCAGTCAAAGCCCCTGGAACCAAAGTAACAGACGGTTGTGAGGCCACCATGTAGGTGCTGGGAACTGAACTTCGGTCAAGCTAAGAGCCTGTGCTCTGAACTGCTGAGTCATCTCTCCAGTCCCTTGATTGCATTTTAATTGCCACCAAGAGCAGTGAGATAAAGAAGGGACAACAGGCCGGCTGGCAGTGGTGCACACCTCTAATCCAGCACTCAGGAGGCAGAGGCCAGCGGATCTCTGTGAGTTGGAGGCCAGCCTGGGCTACAGAGTGAGTTCCAGGAAAGGCTCAAAGCTACACAGAGAAACCCTGTCTCAAAAAACCAAAAAAAAAAAAAAAAAAAAAAAAAAAAGACAACAGAAACTGGGACCAGGAAAGGCCAAGTGTAGGTGAGTTTGGCTCAGAGTCTATGAACACCCCACCCCAAATACAGCAGGAACCTGCCTAGAGATGGAGGCATGGATCTCAGTAAGCAGATTAGGCTGATGGCCAGCAAGCCCCAGGGGTCTTCCTATTTCCGCCTCCCTAGCACTGGAACTTCACGTGCGTGCCAACATGTTCAGCTTGTTCAGGTGTCTGTTCTGGGGATCAAGCTCAGGTCCTTATGGCAAGTACTTTACCTCCTGAGCCATCTCCCAGGCCTAAACGACCACATCCTTAGGGCCAGCATCATGGGGTCTAAGCCATCACTATGGAAAGAAAGCAGCCAGGGAGCTGTGGCTGCTGAACCATCGTCACATAGATGGCTGTAGCAGCAGGGGTGTGCTCTCTTCAAGTGACAGCTGACCTATGTGACCCTTCTGTTTCTTTAGGCCATTAAACACCCCCACTATGAGCTTATTAAATGTTTTCCTTTTCTCTTTGTAAGCTTTGTTTATGTAAAACATCTGCTTTCTGTAGTGGATGCAGAAAAAAAAAAATACAGTCAGACAGTCTGTGTGGCCCCTGTATGAGAAGAACAGCTTGATCTACCTCGCTAGAATAAAATGAACCAAGAGAATCGTAGAAGTCTGTTCTCCTCCCTGAAACAGAGCACACCTAGTGGAAATACTGACAACCTCGATTCTGACGTCAGGTCTGTGGGAACTGTGAGGTGGCTTTCTGGAAAGGAAACAAAAATGATTCCCCTAAAGGCATGACACATATGGCTGGGGCCAAGCGTCAGGTCAGAGAAAGTGAAAACATCAGACCACAGAGAGCTCCACTCCAGAGCCCGGGGAGGCAGAAAGGTCGCGCTCTGACTCCGGGTGGTTCGCGCCTCATTTTGAGCTTTCGGGTACAACAGGCCAAGTCAGTTCTTCAGTTGCAACCCATGAAGGTAGAACACTTCAGGTTAAAAGAAGGCAATCAGAAAGTAGAACTCTGATTATCAGAGGCCAGAAGTGGGGGACAGGTAGAAGAAAAAAAGAGAGAGACCGGAGATCCAGGAATCAAAGTTTGATAAAAGGAATACACAGCCAAATGTATGCCTGTGGAGCACCCGAGCTCCACAGGACAGGGGGATAGCTGTCGTGTGCAACAACCTGCGATATATTTCATGAAGATCTAGAAGAGACGAGCGCTAAACAATAAGGAGAAGGAAATACTAATTACCCTGATTCCATCAGTGCATCATGTACCTACCACAAGCACCTCACTAATACGCATGATGAATACATGTTAATAAAAACAAAAATGGGGGAATAACTAAGGAGGTGGAAGAGCAGAATCTCAGAGTCCACAACCTCTGAAATAGGATGGCTCGACTTTTGGGAGAGCGGACTATTCCAGATGCATGTCCTGCCTTGGCTGATCACAGTTACCCCTAACTCATCAACCTTACTTTTGCAAAATGGAAGGACGACGGAAAGTGTGGCTGACATCAGAAAGGCTTCCTCTAACGGCTGACGAGAGCAGATGCAGAGACCCACACCAAAACATTAGGCAGAGCTTGGGGAATCTCGAAGTAGAGGGGGAGGAAGGATTGTGGGAGCCAGAAGGGTGGAGGACACCACAAGAACACATCTCACAGAATCAACTGACCAGGGCTGCTCTTGGGACCCTCTTCTTCTTCTGGGTTGCCTGGTCCAGCCTTAATATGAGGGTTTGTGGCTAGTCTTATTGCATCTTGTCATGCCATGCTCAGTTGATCCCTAAGAGGCCCGCTCTTTTCTGATGTGAAATGGAGGAGCAGTGGATCTGGGGGAGAGGGGAGGTGGGCGGCATCGATTGGGAAGAGCAGAGGGAGGAGAGGCTATATTGTATGAGAGAAGAAAAATTTAAAAAGAAAAAGAAAGTGTGGCTGAGAGTCTGTCTCATTCCCTTTCCTTCTGCCTCTCTGGGCACAAGTTGCACTGGTACCAAAACCAGCAGCAGTAGAAAGGCAGGAGATGGGGACAGAAGGCAGGTGATGCTGAGTGAATCAAAGGGCTGGGACAGCCACACTGTTTTAAAGTTCCCATAGCCACAGGTAACACTGATATTGTGTGTGCATGCATGTGTGCTGTGTGTGTGTGTGTGTGTGTGTGTGTGTGTGTGTGTGTGTGTGTGTGTGTGTGTGTGAGACAAGTAGGCTATGCTGGTCTGGTCAGTCAGATGAAGGTAGCCACCTGCCTCTGCCTCCCCAGAACGGGAATACATCATCTCATCTCCCACTGAGGACTGAATTCAGGTCCTCCTGTTTATAAGGCAAGCACTTTACCAGCTGAGCCCTCTCTCCAACAGCTGATCTCTTTTCATAATCCTTTAAAAAGCTACTTTCCTGGGGCTGCAGAGATGGCTTAGCAGTTAAGGGAACATGCTGCTCCTGCAGAAGTCTGGTGTTCAGTTCCAGGATCCACGCGGTGTTCCACAACTGTCTGTAACTCCAGTTCCAGAGGATCTAACACCCTCTTCTAGCTTCTGAAGGCACCAGACATATACATAATGCACATCCATACACACACACACACACACACACACACACACACACACACACACACACACACTAAAGTAATAAATAATTTTTAAGATAAACAAACAAAAAACACTAACCACTTTCTCAATCCAGTCCTGTAACCTTAGCATGTGGGTGGATCAGGAATTTAAGACCAGCCTTGGCTACATGGTAAGTCTGAGTTCAGCCTGAACTACATAAGAGCCTGTCTCCAAAAAAGGCCCACTTTCTCTTGGGTTAGGGTATAACTCAGAGGTAGAATGTATGCTTAGCATGCTCAAGGTTCAAGATTCTATCCCCAGAAAATGAACACACACACACTCTCTCTCTCTCTCTCTCTCTCTCTCTCTCTCTCTCTCTCTCAAACATACTCACACGCTCACACACACACACACACACACACACTCTCTCTCTCTCTCTCTCTCTCTCTCTCTCTCTCTCTCTCTCTCTCTCAAACATACTCACACGCTCACACACACACAAACACAAATATACCCCCTTCCATCCACACTGTTTCTCACTTCCTGGTGGCTCTTGGAGCTAAGGTGTACTTACTACTGACTGTAGATGAGTTGGGAACAGCCCTCTACACTCTCAGAGTGTGTGTTAGCCAGCAGTGACCATGGGGCAAGCTCATTTAAAAGAGATCAGCAACACAGTCAGGTCAGTATTTATCCACACTCTAAAAGGATCAAGGCTTCTTAAGAAAACAAGGCTGATTTTTACTTAAGGGTTCTTCTGCTTTCGGGGCGGCATTAGCACAATGACATTTAGAAAGAAAGGACACATACCTGAACAATGCAATGATTGACACCCCTTCCTCGTCAGGATAAAACTGTGTGATCGAATGATGTGCCCCAAGCAATTCCTTTCCATCTTTCCACCATGTAATGCCAGCTGTTTCTTGGTACGCGTTAGGAATATTGATCGAGCAATTAAATTTGACATTTTTATGTTCCGAAAGTATTATGTGTCCAATTGTGTGATTAAAGGCAACAGGAGGTAGAAGCTTTGATGCTGCAGAGGTCACCTGGGGAATGGCTGTGTGTGCAGGAAGTGATCTCCGAGTCCGGGATGGTGGTAGCTGGTACCCACTGGAGTGAGGAAAGAATGGCCTGTGCTCCGCTGGTAGGTTCCCTGGTATAGGTCCTGGGGGTAGTTGATCTGGCTTGGTTTCTTCTGCCTTTTCAGCAATGGCTGCAAAACAGAATATTAGAGTTTTAGCCTTTAAAATGATGAAGAAGACTTTCCACTTCTTAGGTGAAGCAGAACATCCTCAGTGACCTCAGAAAAGATGAACAAGAAGTTGAGTTGTCAGGGCACACCCTTGTCATCCAAGCACTTGTGAGGCCTGTAATCGGACAAGGCAGGAGGGTCAAGAGCTCAAGGCCAACCTGGGTTCACAGTGAAAGTCTGTCTGGACAGAATCAAGAGCTGGCGTGTAGCTCAGTGGGAGAATGCCTACCTCATGTATTCATGCACAAGTCCCCCAGTCCAATCCCTAGCACCTCAACAGAAGAAAGATGGGGAGAACTTGTCTATCTGCACCTCCGACAACCATCCCCACTTACCAAGCTGTGCATCTGTCTACTTGCCTCCCTCTGAAGAGTACTTATGGAAAAAGATTCCAGGGCTGGCGAGACGGCTCAGTGGGCCAGGATGCTTGCTGCCAAGCCTGTTGACCTGAGTTCCATGCCCAGAACCCACAGAGTGGAAGGAGAGAACTGACTCCTGTAAGCTGTCCTCTGACCCCCATGTATGTATGGCAGGATGTGCACCCCCCCCATATACACACCAAGTATATAATTTTTAAAAAATAAAGTTTCTCTAACAACTTTTTTTTCAAATGCTGACTCACTCCAAGTTCTATACCCATAACTTAGCAGACAATGACAGCTACAGGAGGGCCTATGATCACCTTTCTCATTAGCCATCTGCTCGGTCAGACGACCCGGCTAAAAACCCTGAAATGGCTCCCGCAGGGCACAAAGAGACAGGTTTCCAAGTTTTGTGTCCAACAGGGAAAGTTCCCTTATGCTACCAGACTTGGAGTTCCCAGCAAATGCATGCCTGCTTGAATGAGCCAAGAAATGTTTTCATTTCATCTGGCGCGCAAGCATTTCTAAAAATAGAGGCTCATATTCCCTGTACTTGTAGCGTCCTTAAGTGGCATTCTGGGATCACAAATTTTCTGCTGGTTGCTGTTCATTCAAATATGTTGGCAGTGAATGGTCGGGGCAAGTGAGGAAGACAGATACAGGCCCAGCATTCTATGCTTTGGCTTAGTGTCTTGCAATGTCCTGGAGTCCCCAGCCCTGTTAAGAGGCTGTACCTCCTGCTTACATGGTATACTACTTAACTCACTGAGATGGCTTGGTGAGTTAAGTCACTTGCTGCCAAGCTTGACAACCTGAGTTCAATCCCAGTGACATCCGTAGGAGGAGGAGAGAATTGATTTCAAGTTGTCCTTTGGCCTCCACAAATACACACAAAAGAAATAAATGTGATTTAGAAATTAAAAACACAAAAAAGCAGAAAAACCTCAAGCCAGATTAGTGGTGCACGCACTTAATCCCAGCACTCAGGAGGTAGAGGCAGGTAGATCTATGTGAATTTGAGGCAAGTCTGATCCATATAGCAAGTTCTAGGCTACATGGTGAGACTCTGTCTTGAAAGAAAAAGAGACACAGGGATGGGAGGAAGAGAGGAGGAGGGAGGAAGAGAGGAGGGGAGGAGAGGGGGAGGAGAGGGGGAGGAAGGAAGGGGAGGAAGAGAGGAGAGGAGAGGAGAGGAGGGGAGGAGAGGGGGAGGAGAGGGGGAGGAGGGAAGGGGAGGAAAGGAGAGGAGAGGAGAAAAGAGGAGAGGAGAAGAGAAAAGAGGAGAGGAGAGGAAGAAGGAAGAACACAGGATACTGTGGTGGTTTGGACGATAATGACCCCCATAGGCTCATCTATTTGTCTATGTGGTTCCCAGTTGGTGGAAGAGTTTGGAAAGGATTAGGAGTGGTGGCCTTGTTGGAGGAGGTGTGTCACTGGGGGTAAGCTCTACCTCCTGCTTGTAGATAAAGATGTAAGCTCTCAGCTACTGCTCCAGCTCCATGCCTGCCTGCCTGCTGCCATGCTCTTCGTCTCTCTGGTTGTGGAATCACTCTCTGAACTTTAAGCCTCAAATAAACTTTCTTCCATAAGTTGTCTTGGTCATGGTGTCTTATAGCATCAATAGAAAAGTAAGACAGACACCCAAATAAGCTTGAATTTTACAAATAGCATTTCATATGAAATGTCCAGCCAGACTACGCCAATTGGATATCCTATACCAAGGAATATCCTATACCTGAAGACATATAGTACAAACTGAGCAGGTTGCATTTATATATTTAGGAACACACACACACACACACACACACACACACACACAATATAATAACAAAGAAGAAAAGAGTCCATGAGTTTGAAAGAAAACAAGGAGGGATAAATGGGGGGAAGGGTTCTGGAGACCAGAAAGGAAAGAGGGAAATAGTGTAATTACATTATAATCTCAAAAATTAAAGAAATAACTCTTAAAAAAATAATATGGTCAAAACATACATATGAAAAAAATTAATTAAAAGGAAAAGTAGCACACACACCCACAGGAAGACATTTAAGATGCTAATGAGACAATGTGATATGAAGCAGTGTAGAACTGATATAGAAGACACTTAAATTATAGAGTTAGAAAGAATTACCAATAGGTTTGCTTAGGAGACATTAAGTCACACGAGTGGAATTTAGCTCAAGGAGTGCTGCCTTTAAAATATTCCAAAACATCCAAAGCTAAGCAACAGGCTAACCAGGCCTGCAGGAGATAAGTGAAATTTAGGGTGCTAGGATGTAAATGTTTACTCCCCAGGATTGACTAGCCATTAGGCTCTGATTCCCACGACAAAGGAGACAGCACTGATTTATGACATCCTTTAGGCCCTGATTCCCATACCAAAGACATACCTCTAACAGGCATGGTGTGTGTGTGTGTGTGTGTGTGTGTGTGTGTGTGTGTGTGTGTGTGTGAGAGAGAGAGAGAGAGAGAGTGTGTGTGTGTGTGTGTGTGTGAGAGAGAGAGAGAGAGAGAGAGAGAGAGAGAGAGAGAGAGAGAGAGAGAGAGAGGATGTGTGTGGGGTCACAACCATTATTAAGTCTCCTTTACTCTTATCAGAAAAAAAACATAATTCTGCGAGGTGGGCAAGCTAACCCTGGGTAACAACTATTTGAAAAAGAACAACACTGGTGTACTTAAAATAAGTCTGGGAATATGAAATGTCTTTGCTGTGTAAATCTCTCATCTGCCTAAGAGGCCGGACTTGCAGTCTCCTGCCTCCACTTAAACCATCTGGAGTGTAACCTGGGGCCTGGACCAGAAAAGGAGATTTAAGGATGACAACGTACATAAAATGCATAAGCTTGAGGTGTATCTAAGCTAACGAAATCTTCAGCTGGGGTTGACTCTTACTGGGTGTTAGCCCAGTCGACCTAAAGTAGAGAGAGCTTTGCCTTAACTAATCTCTAAGTGTGTGGAGTGATTCCTCATTGGGAAGACTCACTGGAGTGATTCCTCATTCCACATTCCTCAGTCCCAAATTTCTTACCTTTATCTATGTTTTAAACTTTCATATGTAGCTGGAGTTTTCCTGCCTGGCCCACAGTCAGGACAAATCTCTGTCACTGGCCAGTCCCACAGCCGCTCAGACCCAACCAAGTAAACACAGAGACTTATATTGCTTATAAACTGTATGGCCGTGGGAGGCTTCTTGCTAACTGTTCTTATATCTTAAATTAATCCATTTCTATAAATCTATACCTTGCCACATGGCTCGTGGCTTACCGGCGTCTTCACATGCTTCTTGTCATGGTGGCGGCTGGCAGTGTCTCTCCCACCTTCCTGTTCTCTCAATTCTCCTCTCTGTTAGTCCCGCCTATACTTCCTGCCTGGCCACTGGCCAATCAGTGTTTTATTTATTGACCAATCAGAGCATCTGACATACAGACCATCCCACAGCATTTATATGTATGGATGCTTTGCCTGCATGTACATCTGTGCATGCAGGGCCTGTGGGAGGCCAGAAGTAGGTGTCAGATCTTCAGGAACTGAAGTTGCAGACATTTGTGAGCCACCACGTGGGTGCTGGGAAACAACCCAGGTCCTCTGAAGAACAGCCAGTGCTCTTAACCCCTGAGCCATCTCTCCAGGCCCTCATTTCTATAACAGAAATACATGTCACAGTATACTTGAGAAAGTCCACTCGATGTAGATGACCCCCAAAAGCTCGCATTATGTTACAAAAAAAAAAAAAAAAACCATCTTGTATACGATGTGGCCATGGCTGTGGCCATTTGAGCTTCTAAATTTTCTTCTTGCTCCAGCATTTCCAGCTCAGTTTCCTTTCTTGGAAATTTATCATTTTCTAGTAAACTGTCCCTATTTTCTGCTGCCATCCAGGTGTCTCTAACTCCTCATTCTGGGACTTAAGAACCAGGAAGCCCTCAGGAGGTGCTGATATTGAACCCTGATATCCTCTAATATCAAAAGGCTCTCTACTGTTCCTTAGCTTGAAATCTTCATAGCTGTAGGAACGATACAGGGCTTCCTGGATCAGCTGGCGGCTAGCTGTGAGCCTATTCATCTAGACAGATCAGCGGGTCACAATGAGAGGGATAATCCATGGGACCCTAGAGAAGGGGCCCATCTTCTGTCCTACATACAGCCAAGCCAAAAAGCTTCATCCACAAGTCAGGCCCGTGCTCTATGTAGTCACTGGGTTCTATCTAGTCCTGCTCTGATATGGCTGTTCTCTGTGGCCATGCATTTCTGGGTGTTTAGTTCATGCCTACAAACCTCCTCAAGGATGCTCTGTTTATCTCTGTAACTTTTGAGGAAAAGAATTACAAAGAATCCAAATATTTTCAACCAAAAGAATGATAGTATGCCCATGTGCTCTTTGTGTAGTATCAGGGGGTCCTTGAGACCCATATTTTATTTCCAACAACTTGGGGGCTCATCCAGGATGCTAATTCTATCTGCAAAGAAGTCCAGAATCATGTCACTGGAGAGATGTGTCCCATGGCCCCATTGCAGCGGCCCTATAGCTTGGGCATTTGGTAGTCCCTAGATCGGTAATGATCCTGAGACAGGAAAGTCAGCAACAAAAGAGCCCAAGAGCA